GGAAATTGAAATACTTTATCATATTATTATATTTTAACTTTCTATATTTGACCACCTTTGAGACCAATTAATGTTATAAGTTGATTAAATACACATCGTTAACACCTATATTCTCTTGAGAGCAAAAGTTAGTACTCATCCCATATTATGAATATAATTTTTCCATTGCATAAAAAATAGTACATGAAATGCTTTTTATAAAGTTTCAAATACAAGCCAACTTCACAAGATTATTGAAGATCCAAAATTTCACTTAACTTGATATTTGATTTTTATTGCGAGACAAAAAATAATAATTACGAACTACAAATAATAACATAGAGCTTGTGTTAGATATTTAGACAATAAATTTAATATGTGAAAGAAATAACTAATTTAGATGAAGGGTCCAAATCGTGAAAAATGTGACATTTGTGTGGGGCATCGGGGGTTCAGGTCACATCCCATGCTAATAATATAAAAATATTTGATTGGGAACTTGAGCTCTTGGGCTTCCTTGATTAAAAATAATCATTTTTTATTTTATTTTAATAATTTTTAGAATTATTTAATGGGTCAAACTAGTCAGTATAATATGATCTTTTTTAACAACACATTATCCACTAACTAGTAAATTTTGCAAATATTTCTAGATCATTATGGAGATGGTTGGATCCATTCTGCCTACATATACACCCATCTAGTTTTGAAAAAAAAAAATCATCAAAAAAAAATTGTAACTTTTCATATTCTAAAATTTTTATACTCGAGTTTTTACATATATTTTGGAGTACACTTGAGAGTTTTGAAAAATTATTTATGATTGTTACACAAGTGGTTTGTGATCGTTGTATTCTATGAGTGATTGTCCACAGATGTCGCAACAATTATCGACGGATAATTTCACTTTAAGATATCGTGCTGTCACGAGACTCGATTAATTAATAAGTTTTTTTTCTGTATTTTACCATTCTGTAAGTTACTGCAACTAATTATTTTTCCAACAGTTAGTTCTTTTGAGCTTTACAAACATGAACAAGATGAAATTAGGCAATAGATATTTATAATAATACTAGGTAAATAATTATTTTAGAGGAGAGATTATTGTAATTTTTAACATGAGAGATTTTTTGCTAATTATCAAATAGTTGATAGAATTTCTAATAATAATGAAATCTATGTGAATGTTTAAAGCTTATATTCCGTTTGTTATAACAACAGTCTACAATATTTGGACATTCAAAAGAAAATAAATAATGGCCACTTTTGTAACGAGCCAAAACTTATCGTGATTTAGCAATTATTATTTCATTGGTCCACATGTAATAATTCACAGCATGAATAATCACAAATTTTAAGCCAAGAATCCTTGAATTGGTGAATTTTAGTATCATTTGAATTATTGAATTACCTTACTTTTTCGAGCATCAAATTTTGCATTATCATGTTCTCCAATGGTTTCAATCCTGATCACAATAGAAGAGGATCATTATCCACAATGTAAATGTCTTATTTTGTGAGTTTTCAATCCAAAATAGTGATTTTAGGGCATTTTCCAATTTTGGTGTATTTTCACATATGAATTTCACCATACTTCTTGCCATCTTTTCTCTCTTTTTCATAACTTCAATTAGGAGGTTGTAAGGAGGTATTTTTGGAGTTGTAGAGAGTTGAGAAAATTATGGATTTGAATTCCATTCAAAACAATCTATTCTATCCACTTTTGAAATTTTGAAAGTTAAGTCATCTCCACATTGGCCCAAACTTATTTTAAAACATTAGTTCAAGTATTTTCGATCCCTTAAGTATTTATGGAACATATTTGAACCTCGTATCATATTACTGTATTCACAATTTTGTCATATATCCTAAACAATTAAATATAATTGTCCAGCTTATGAATACACGTATACATGTTGGTCAAAATAGTTTTCCTTTAATAATTGAATCGTTCAACTTTAAATTAGCTGCTTTTATAGACATATCTCATCAAACCAAATCAATCATAGTTGTATGCTAAATTAACAATACTGAAATAATATCTCAAAAAACAGTCAAAAGTCATAAATGTATGTATATATAAGATTATATAAACATCAAGGTCTCACACAATGATGAAGCGGGGATCCATTCACTCATTTACCTAATATTGGCTATAAAAGCACATATGGTATGAAGTGCTTTCTACGATGTTTTCTCCCTTTCGTAGTATGCATGTCATATCCTTTATAAGCAAATAACACCATACAAATTGTAGTCTAGTATTTCCCAAACCTGACTTGAGTTCTCCTTATTTCATTCCTCCAGGCAATCTCAAATTAAGAACTCGATTTGACTACTAAACGGTTCAATGGATAACAAAATTCATTTCAATTATTTGTTGTAATCTCATCTTGATATCTTATTAAGGCGACCGGATCATTACACAACATGATCACTTTATCTCATCTCAGCACACCCGAAGTGTCTTAGATAATTGTTCGTGTGAGTGAACAAATCTTAACCTGTTCAACATATTTTATATGTGCTTGCAAATCATTATCTCGTAATCCCAATATTAGATTACACATGAACTCAAACTTGTTCATCGATTGGCATATGAAACTCAATCAAGAGTTTTCTGATATACCACGCATCGTATTCTACACAATTTCAAAGATTTGATATTACCAACAAGTATATCTATAGATATTTTCAGAGTATAATTATTACATTTCATCATTTATGTAGATATATCACAAAAATATTTTCTTTGCTAATGTCTCTCACGAAATACCATCAAGTGTGTGATTAAATCTTAATACTCGAAATCCTTAACACGTGAGATAATTGCATAATTATCATTGATTTCACATCCTCAACTAGTATGATTAGATGTTCAATACATCTATACCAAACAATTTCTTCAGCTGCCGAGCTAAATGCTACAAGGTATACTTCATGTCACTTTATATAGCAAAAGTGCACAAGTCCAACGACTAATTGTGCTACACTAGCTCTCATCCTTAGTTGACATTTGCATATTTATTCCAATAACAAGTTATTCCCTCAACAAAAAAATAGAATAACTGGCGTCTGCACCATTTAGGTATCACAATACTCTTTCTAAGAATAATATTAATACCTATTAACTAGACCCATGACATGACAAATGTTAGGACAAGTATACATCATATAAGAGAGATGCGAGCGCTTAATAGAAAGAAGAATGGACTTGGTATAGATTAAGCTTCTTTCGCTGCTTGTCTCTATCATCCTCAACATTTGGTCTAATCATGATCATCTCCATCACCTAGTGATAGTCCCCCACACTCATAGAAACTTGGTAGAAACTTTGCAATTTTTTTATAAAGCTCCATATAGTAATGATTAGGTGCGAGCCTCTTCCTCATGATAGCCTTCAATTCTTTCCATGATTAATAGGCCTCTCACGATTCCTTTTCCTAGTTATCACTACTTGATCTCACAAATTAATAGCTTAATCAGCAAATTTAAGTACTGCAATTTTTACCTTCTTTTCCTCCGAGTAGTTGTAGCAATCAAATATTAATTCAATCTTCTTCTCCTACTCCAAGTATACTTTCAGATCACTCCTTTTGAATGAAGGAATTTTCGTTTTGAAGTTGTCCATACTTCTGTCAACTCTGTCTCCAACAGATCTTCACATCTCCTTTTATGCCTAACTTTTCTATCCCTCGTTCTTCCTATCTCAGCATCCATCCCTACCCACTTCATATTCTACACGATTCTCAACCCTAGGCTGCACTTACCTTGCCTCCTTGTATTGGGAACTCTTCTAGGTTGACGCCTATGTAAATGGGCAAGCAATGGGTCTTGCCTTTCCACTCACTCCTCTTGCCTATTCAACCTATCCCTCACATCATGTTGACTTGATTATTGTTCCTGCTTGAGGTAGAATCATCTCTACCAGACATTCTAAATCTATAGAGTATTTGCTTCACGTGTATACGCTCTTGCATCACTCAAATTGATTTTTCCCCTCTAATAATCTCACAACTCTTGTCTTTATCCACTCAATGCTTTTGCCTAAGTGCTTCAAAGAACTAATTCAATTTTGACCAAGTTTTATTCTCGAAGAGTTCAAACTAGTTTGAGAGTATTTGCTTCACGTGTATACGCTCTTGCATCACTCAAATTGATTTTTTCCCTCTAATAATCTCACAGCTCTTGTCTTTATCCACTCAATGCTTTTGCCTAAGTGCTTCAAAGAACTAATTCAATTTTGACCAAGTTTTATTCTCGAAGAGTTCAAACTAGTTTGAGAGTGAGAATTTGTAACTTAGAACACTCAAGAAAGAAATAACAGAAACAAAGGAACTTGACACTTCGAATGGAACTAATATTTAATCCAAAAAAGTGGTTCTTGAATTCAGATTGAGCACTTTTGATTTTTGGGCTCTTTTTTTGAATTTATTTTTTGCTAAATGGAAGAGAATTTAACAAGGAGCCCAAAAATTCGAAAATAAATTGATTTGGACACTAAATTAGTGCATAAACAACTTTTGGACTTGTTTGGAACCTTTGTTAGATTGAAAGACTTAAAAAAATGAAGAATGCGAAGAATGATAAGGAAGGGAAGCAAAAGACTCAAACGAAAAAGAAAATGGTATAACCTTGATTTTTTAAGCCCAAACTATGAAACCAACTTATATGAATCCACGTACGCAATAGTAGCTCCGAAACCCACAAAAGATTGAATCAATCCCAAGAAAGCTAAGAAATCAAAGTTTAGAGTTCGATCCAAAAATATTGAACCGAATAACCAACACAATCACTAACAATATGTTGACCCGTGCTCACAAGATTCAAGAATTTCACCCGAATTGTTTGAATGCCATAATAAATAATTTTTGATAAATTCATAAAATTAATTCAATGAAGAACAAGGAATTGCAAGCAAAATTTACTCACAAAATAATCTCTCTTATTGAATGAATGAAAGTTATATTTAATGTTAAATAATGAATCATATTTATAGAAAACCCATAAAACCCTAGCATATACGAATTTAAAGTCTAAATATTCCAAAAGTTACTAAAAAAATTGGAGTTTCAATGTAAATAAAAAATTTCACGAAATTGAAAAATTTGCCATCGAAAACACACTATACGACCGCATAGTATTACTGCATGTGGTCCCATAGACCAAGTCAAAACCTTGCCATTTTTCTGTAGTAGGCTACTATGCGGTTGCATAGCTTCTATAGCTATGTGGCCACATAGTTACTTTGCCCCGTCACTTCGTCCGTTGCTTGAATCACGTTGAATCAACTTGTTTTCTCTTTTGAGCCCAACACAAAACTTGTACCTTTGCTTGCTAAGATTGATGTTTCGTTGATTGTAGCTTGAATAAGCAATCACATCGCTTCATTAACTCTCTTCGCTCGTGACCTCATCATGGGCCTCTCGTCAACAATCAACGGATCCTTGCCTGGACTTACCTTCATTCCTTGGATCACATCATCACGTGACACTAAAAATCAAGCAAATTAAATTTCATTATCAATCAGAGCATTAACCATTACATATAACATGATGAGATAAGTATAAACTTCAACATAAGTATAAACTTCAACACCCACGAACAATGGATATAGACAAAAGACCTTGTTATTACCAGGTTTCGAAACGCAATACCTAAATCAATTATAAGATTTACCAGTGTGCACCGGGTTCCCTCATCATAAATAAATAAATAAAAAAGAGCAAAAGTTTTACTAAATTTTGCATTTGTAAAGGTTTCTAAATTGATTCATTTCCTTTGGACACTGGAAACTAGCCAGACCAAATTGATATTTAGGTCAGTTTTGGTGTAATTATTATTGAACCAACATACATGGTTTCACTTTTTATTCAAATATAGAACAGAACCTCTATAACCTCTAATGACGAAAATGTACCTCCACATCCCATAGTAACCAAGTAAGATACAAGTATCATTTTAAATATTACGTATGCAGCCTACTAAAGCCTAGCAAATATCATTCAGACATCAATAGTTCAACTAAAAATGAAAAAGGATTGCTGAATCATATCAAAGACAAGTCTATTTATATTTCAAGGCTTTATTTGGAGACATGGAATCAACCAAGACCAATTAGCTATTAGCACAAAATTTGGTCATCGAGATACATACGCTTCTTATATTACTAGCTTCCAGACCTTAAATTCCAGACTAAATTCACTAAGGAGAAACTCTCAAGATACAGGAAATTTGACGTAAGACGACCCAAATACTGTTTATGATTGGTTTAAGCATAAAAGAGTGATTACATTAGACACCCAAATAAAAAAGGTAATTTTCTTTATTTGAAATCTATTACAATCTGAACCATCATTTGCTGAAGCATTACATTAAACACCTAAACTAGATTCTCCAACCTCAATTATTAAACATAAGTGAACCAGGTTCTTCTAAAAGAAATAAAATTTCAATCAAATCCAAACAAAATCTTCATAGCATTCATTAAATGATAATAAAATTAAATTCCATTACAATGATTAGTAGTCAAAAAACTGTCTGGAGGTGTGGAAAATATGGATGACCAGCTTCAAAATGAATTTGGGGAAGACGATGGGTTTAAGATTGTGGATCCGGCCCGAGATGAGTGCCAAACGAATCTGACCCTCTCTCTATTATCCTCTTCCTCCTTACTTCTCTCTCTTTTTGTCTGTTACTTCAAACTAGGGAAAATCACCGAATATAGTCAAAATAAATTTCAAAACAACAAGAACACTAGATTGAGAAATAGTCACAACAGAAATAACAACAAAGCTTTCTTCATTTCAGCGATGAGACCTACAAAGAAACAACGAAAATAAATGAAACTTGGTCACAAATCGGTGTGAATCGGAAGAATTAGCGGTGCACTACCACCTCTTCGAGTGGCACATACGAGGACGGGAGATTTGCAAGAGATGAGTGATGGAAGAGGGATGGTAAAACTCTACTCCTTTAAGAAGTTAGGCCATCTTCAGCTTTGCACCAAAATTTGCACAATTTTACAACAAATTTTGCATCAAATCTTGCACCAAACCAAAATTCTTCTCCAACCAATATACCAAATGAACAGTGCTTTATTCTTTTATTTATTCTTTCAATTTTTGTCAATATATTTTTATTTAAAAAAATTATTTATTTATTTTATAACTATATGGCCAGGTCTGGGCGCACTTAATTCTCAAAATTAAGAGATTTTCTTACCGTTGATGCGTCCAACAGCCAAATTTCCACCAATTTTACTGACATGTCCATTAAATAGACTGACACCCATGTTAGCCAGATTTTTCCCTTTCTACCCCCACAATTAACAGGCCAAATGCCTCACCCATGTGCGAAATCATAAAGCAAGACAAGATCTGTTTTCACTCATCCACTGGACGAAGCTAGCGATACTACTTGCTCTCAGACGGCACCAATATCTGCTACATTTGATGTCCGACAGTGAGGAAATATTCTTCTGGCGGCTCATCCACAATTTTTGTAAGAGGCCAGCCGCCCCCACCCTATTTCGACGACTACAACGGTGGGTTCATGGAGCCCTTGCCCACATCTTCCACCCCCAATCTGCCATGACGAAGTTTGCCTTCTTCGGCCACCAATACAAGCGACGTCCCTATTACAATTTCATCTCGTAGATCCCCATTCTCGTGCGATATCATAGGTGAGCATCTGTGTCTTCAATCTCTACTCGTTCTCCTTACATGTTCCTCACTCGTCACTACGCTATACATTTGTTTAGAGTATTTGATTCACAAGGGCCTAATATGCTTGAATTACATTTGCACTTGAATTTGAACTGCAAGAGGCGATCCCATTTACCCCGGCACACACACAGTCATCTAACTTTTTGGATAAAAATTTGCTCATCGAAATCGCACCAACATGGATCCTTTCGTTACTCCGGTACGGTACAGTGCCTCCAACATCTTCTTCATTGTTGTGTTGAACGTAAATTGTGAGTAAAGGTTGCTTCTGCTGATGGAGAATAACATTTTTTCGCCCGATTTGCAGCAACCAAATTATCACCCTCACCCGCACTCCTCCACATCAAACGCCCAGCATGTTGACAGTCAATCGGGGCCTCATAAGCATGCACAATGGACTAACTATGAGACTCAAATTTTTATACTGACTGTGAGACCGTAATCGCCGATGGACACCGAAATGGGAAGTGCTTCTCCAAATACGGATGGTAGACATTGGTTCACTTATTTAACAACAACTCCGGGCACAAATGGAGCAAGCAGCAGCTAAAAAATCAGTGGGATGCTCTCCGCTTGAACCATAAGAGATTTGAAGAATTGATCAACAGTAGTGGCGTTGCGTACGACACGTCCATTGGCTTGATCAGCGCCTTGACGGAGTGGTGGGATCGAAAGATTAAGGTACCATCATGTATTCATGAGCATGTTTCTGTCCAAATTTGGTTGAATAAACACTAGCTATGAAGAAACCAAAATGCTTGACATACACGTCAATGGGAAGAAAAATAGTTTCAGCTTCTTCAAGTTAACTTAGGTCGATTTTAACGTTTTCTTGGAATTTCCATCAAATGTTATTGTAATTGTATTCCTGTTTCATTTCCACATTTATGTGTATAGGTAGGAATGGTTCACATTTTTGTTATTTTCTGAAATAGATTCAATCGAGATTTTTTTTATAGTAAATTGTAACTGATTCTTTCACACTTCATTTGTAAAAGATATGAACCTCGTTTGGTTTGTATTGCTTCAAGAGAGGAAGGAGTACGAAGAGTTTAAGGACAAGGATTGTCGAAAGTTATACCGATACAAGGTTTTATTCAGGGATGTTTTCAACTATGATAAGTACGCAGTCACACCTAGCCAAGCATGCCGCACTGGCTTCGCGATGTTCAAAGACAATGGACACGAAGACTACTGTGACGAGATCACAGCTGATGTAAAGAGTAGCGGCTCAAGTGACGAGGACAGTGTAGCCACACCATCTTTCGTAACCACGGATGAATTCGGCCCGCATAGCGAGGACAAACGAAAGGCCTCCGGGAAGCGAACGAACGAAAAGAAGAAGTTTTCATCTCGGGACATGTCCTACTCTATAGATCATGCTACATCCGCCAGTGAAAAGATTGCTGCAAAAATTGACAACTTCATCGTAGCTGCTATGTCCGACCCAAAGACGTACATATAAGCAAGTTACTGGCAACAGGTCGACTCCAAAAGTAAACGGATCAGTACTTTTACACGTGCAAATTTCTTTCGCAGAAGGCCAATAGAGAGGTGCTGGATATGCAAGACAATGCTAACGACAAGTTTGCTTAGGTGGAGTGGAGCTATCAAGAATATAGGAAAACACAGCCATGGTGATAGCTATGTTTGTGTAGATTGCGTAGACGTTCGTGGAACGTTTTAAATTTTTCTTGTTATTGTTTATGTTTACATGTACTATGTTTGATGTGAAGACATTTTGTTTGTGTCTAGTATGTACGGGGGGCAGTTGCCTAAGTTTACTTTTTGCTCTTGAAACGTTTTATTTTCATATGCGTGAAAAAAGGTTTGATTCTGGTAGATTACAAGCAGGTGTACAGACAAGCCTCACATTTGGATGTATGTTCACATTTTGGTCAAGCAAATGCTTCATTAGTTGGTGGACTGTTCACATCAGTCCCATCTTTACATAAATTATTGGTTGTCCTAGCCATAACTTCAAAGACAAATCATTTCACTTGCCTTCTTGTATCAGTGCCATCATTCTATAAAAGGCACATAAATTCAGTAAAAGTATACAACATGCAAAAGTCATAGTCTTGGATATCATATTGTGATTGTGGTCGTATGGGGCATTTGGATTTCACCTGTAAGTTGTAGCCGACCTCCGATGTGGAAGACGAACTGGGGGACGAGGTATTCATGGAAGAATTGCAAGTGGACATTATGGAGTGGTTTCGGTACTGTCAAACCAATGAGGTTACTCGCAGAAACTACTATCACGAACAAGGCACTCGTGTTTCGAGATATCCATTGGTGCGAAATGGTCATATGTTCATGCTGAATGCAATGAATTGTAGTCCTCAACAATGCTATGCCGAGTTTCGCATGTATCCCGTGATGCTGCGAACATTCGCACATATGCTGCGTGATGAGTACGGGCTTCGCAGTCATGAGCACATAGATATTTATGAACAAGTTGGTATATTTTTTTTTGTATATTAGCACATGGAAAGGGGTATAGATAGGTGCAGACACTTTTTAACCATTCATTGGAAATCGTCGGGCACTACTTCAAGATTGTGCTTCAAGTGGTCCTCCAGTTCCCTCGACGAGTAATTCGATCGGATCCAAACTACAATAATTATGCTGAGCATCACATTTCGAATATGACCAAGCATCACATTTTTTAGGATTGCATTGGTGTGATAGATGGAACCCATGTTAGAGTCGTCCTTCCACGGGACCAGCGCTTGAGTTTTATCGGACGAAAAGGAATTCCAACCCAAAATATGCTAGCGGCATGTGATTTTAATTTGTGCTTGTCGGTATAATGGAGAACTCCTACGATGCTCGAATCTTGGCTCAAGCAATACATAATCCCGAGATGAGTTTTCGCAACCAGCACCTAGAAAATATTACCTGGTTGACTCGGGATTTACTCATCGACCTGGGTATATGGCGCCCTATAAGGGTTCGGATATATTGTACCATTTTTAGCAATTCTATGATGGAGACACCGATCGCAGACGTAACTTCCGAAATGCCCGTGAAAAATTTAATTTCAGGCACTTGTCCTGCAAGAACGTCATGGAACGTGCATTTGGTGTTTGGAAAAGTCGATGAAAAATACGCGATCGTATGCCAAGTTATGCGTTCTACATGCAAACATCTATTGTAATCGCAACCATGGGCATTCATTACTTTCTTTGACGAGCGGGCGTGGTGGACGAAGCATTCCTAAGAGTAGAGACAGACCCCGACGCAGTAGAGATGGAGCTCCTGAGCGCACATAACGAAGTTTCAGTGAAAATGAATGCGCCGAAATCATGACGAGATGAACGGGATATGTTCAGAGATTACCTGGCACAATAAGAAACACGTGTATTTTTTGGTCGAAATTAGACGTGCTAATTAAGCACGATGTTTTTCGACAAGAGAAATGGACGTCGTTTCATGTCAAAATTGGAAAAAAATGTTATCATAAATAATGTCGCATGTTCCAAATTGGTTTTGTTGCAATGAATTTCCATGTAAAAAAAATTTGATAGACAAAATAAATTCACATTTGAATGGAACCCATCATGTATGCATTTTTCCCCAAATTCATTGTCATTATCTGTCAAAAGTCTTCTTCAAGGTGTCAGGGCACATTTGGAGTCATGTGGGCAAATTTGTCATTTATGCATGTACAAATGCATTGAACAAGCAAATTGTCTTAAGGTGGGACCAGCAGATTAGACAAGAGAATTGATTTTTCCATTTCCCAAATCGCACCCAGACGGGGTTTAAATTACTAAATCATAATTTCGTTAAATTAACAAATATAATAATTACTCAATTATTCACTTGTTTTATATATTATGTTAAATTGACAAAAATAATTGATTATATTATTAATTTATGATAAACAATTACGTTAAATTTACAAAAATAATAAACTTTAATAATATAAACTTTACGATAAATTAAACTTTAAATGTAAACTTTATGTTAAATTAACAATTACGTTAATTATTATTGATTATATTATTAAAAATAATAAACTTTAATAATATAATTAATTATTATTATTATTGTTATTATTATCATCATCATCATCATCATCATTATCATTATTACTATCATTATAGAACGAAAATGACTCAGATAACTTCAACCATTATCTTTGAAAAATGAAAAATAAGGGCAAAACGAATATTACACCATTGCAAAAAATGGTGTAATGAATAGTGATGTACCAAATATAGTGCAACACTATTCACTTTGTACCAAAATAGTGCAAAATTTGGTGTTACATTGGAACAACTTTACACCAAAAAATGGTGCAAAATGGTGCAATGGTATTAACATTGGAGTTGAACTTGCTTCTAATTTATACTCTCTCTGTCCCAATTATATGAGCTTGTTTGATTTTTCACACAGATTAAGAAATCTAATTTAATGTTATTGGAAAAGTAATATTTGCCAAAAACTTTCCTAATTTATCCTTATTTAATTTTTAACAAGTAAATTATTGTGGGAACTAGTAAAAAATTTGAATGATTTAATTTTCAATTCTCACATTCATAAATATTTTGATGAGATTCATTGGAACCATAATTTGAACTTTTGAAACAAATTAAACTAAAATCACAGTATTCTTTCACTCATTCGATTCAAAATTGTCAACCTAGCAACTTTGATTTTCCATTGTTGTTTTTTTTTAATTATTTTATTCTTTTATACGGTTTACAACGGAATCAATATTTTGAAAAATTCGTTGGTAAGTTATTTACTTTATTATTATTATTTTTTTGTATTTTATCAATGGATTAGCAACGAAATTGTACCTATGGAATACTTTCATTGGTAATTCTATCGGTAAATTGATATGTTAATCCGTTGGAATTAGAAACAGAAGACAACAGTCGCTAAAATTTTGTCTCTATTGCCTCCTTTTTTAGTACTTTAGTTTTGAGTGTTGTTCAAGAAATTTGCGCTTATATGATCACAATTCAAGTGGTTGTTGACATTGCAACTGCCACAGACTTTCATTCCCTGGATTGTAGTCCTATAATCCAATACTTTTTACAGCACAGATCTTTTCATATTGCAATCAAAGGTCCTTCAACTTCCAAAAGTAATACTCTAGTCCCCGATTCCAAAATTTGTCCATCCTTCATCCTTTTCTCTTAAAAGTCGTTCTTTTTTGTTGAGTTCTAGTCCAATATCGATTTTTCTCCTAAAATAATAAAGTTTTGGTTTCAAGCGCATATCGTACTACCAAAAGGCATACTTATCACAGTCCATAGGCTCATTTGGCTTCTAATACCCCAGCAACACATAGCTGGCTTGCCTGTAGTCCATTATTTTATCGTCTGCGACTCAAGGCAACATTGTTTAATAGTATCACATCTATTCCTCTTTCCAAAAAAAGAAAAAAAAGAAAGAAAGAATAATAAATAGACTATCATGTAATTGTTCTATTAGTTTTGTTTGTGGATATTGATGAAGTGACCATTTTACTTTTTTATCTAACCTTTGCTGCAAATTATGCATAGAAACTGGCCTTTCCAAGTCGCAATCGGGCGAAGAAAAAATCAGTAATGTCAAGAGAAAAAGAAGCCATTGGAGAGTTGACAAGTGCAACTTGACTAAACTTGAATTATCATATTCATCTTCATGCAATCATGCCCCTTATCTCTCTCTGTGAACTACAACCACTATATACCTGCATTATATTCTTAAATAATATAAACCCTAGTTTTCGGTTAATTTCTTGCCAAATTTTTTCGTGCCGTTGGAGTAAATATATATAATCTGCTTTTTTCTTGTGTTAAAATGGATTCACCTATAAGAAAAGTCCAGAAAGGACTAATAAACAAGACATGGGAGCGATGCAAATCATTTGGTGGCATTGGAAGATCCAAAAGATCATCAATATTTTATCAACGTGGGAAAAGTAAATCGTTGCCGCACGATCTTTCCACCACTCTAAATCACGATCAAGAAGAAAAACAAATGATCAAGAAACTTAGGGTGGCTCCTCAAGGTTGCTTTTTCATCTACGTTGGAGCCCAGAAACAAAGGTTTGTTATCAAGACTGAGTATATAAACCATCCTCTCTTCAAGATTCTGCTTGAAGAAGCTGAATCTGAATATGGATACAAAACTGAAGGCCCTTTAAAGCTTCCGTGTGAAGTTGAGATTTTCATAAAGGTGTTGGTCGAATTGGATGGTGAAGATCACGAGCCATGTAAACTGGGGTGCAACTTTACCAGCCGAGTCACACCTCCTAGGTTTTTATGAACAGACCTTTGGTTGCTAAGAGCTAAAGTTGAGCGAGAGAGAGATCCACCAAGGTATGTGACCATGAAAACCCTAAACTATAGAAAAGCCAATCCCCATGTCCCTTGCATGAGGTGAGGTAACAATCTGAAATAAATATCTAGTGAAATTCGGCTTGGATTGTATTATATTAAAGTAATATTGTGACAAATCTTGCTCTCTGGCCAAAATCTGGGGCCCTAATATTTATATATAGAAATTGGTAGAATATATACTCTATCTTTTTATAACCATTTTTAGTTTGATCTAAGCATAAATAACATTTTAAACGATGGTAATGTTCTAGTTTTCGTCATAAAAAAGTGATTACTATCTAGGACTTGGCTATCAGAGTAATTTTCTATGGACTCCATGGGCTATAAATTCACTATGAATATCAATACATGAACAACAAGAAAGAATGTTGGACTAATTAATGAATATTAATTAAATGAGGCCAACCCTTTTAAATTATAAAAATAATATTATGTTGCTACGCCTAAGCTTTAAATAGTTTTAAAATCTGACAATTAATTAATACAGTATTTTATTGGTATATAATTTCATAAGAATTTCAACAACCCTGATCTAATTAAGCTTGAGTCATGAGGGTGCTAGCTTCTCTTATTAGTTGGTTTCATTAATTAAGAAATCGTGCAAGGCACAGATAAAAATTAGTAATTTATGAATTGTTATTTGAAAATAATAGTCATTGTATTGAAATAAAGTGGTCATGAAGTTATTGGTGCAACAATAGTAGTCTTTGATTAGAACTCTTAGGGTGGTCCCTATGATAGAAATGTCCAATATTAACATCAATTTTTTTTTTTTTTGGCCACTTGAGAATCGTGTCTGCTCTGTCAAAGCTCATATTCCATCCTAGTAATAATGGATAAAGATGAGAACGGTTTTCTTTTGGATAAACTAAGAGTCAGTCAATACGGTATTACAATACATAAAAGTCTTGATTTCGAGTGTTGTTGTCACTTATTTATAGAAGCCTGACACACTTTCGATGAAAAAATATACTAAGCTAGTACGTTAGAGCCAGAAAACTGTATAAATATATGTTAAGAGCCTGTTTGATGCTCATTTTTTGAAAAGAAAAAAAAAAGATTTTGAATTAGTGATTTAATGGAAAATGTGTCGTTAAAAAATAAGGAAAAATTTTGAATTTGTGTGTAATATTAATTTATTAAGAATGTATGATTGAAAATAAGATATATAAAAATGTATTTTGAAAAAAATGGGAATCAAACGAGACTCAAATCTCTAATAATTTAATTTTTTTAAATGAAGTACAATAAATTTTAGTGCTATGATTGGTGTTTCCAATTCGAAAGGATAATTAGAGTGTGACGGGGTAGATTGATTTCCCTTTGTGATAAACTTAAGATCCCAAACATCTACTTAATTACACTTTAACGTGTTTTGATTTCATTTATTTCATGACAGATTGGTACTTTGTGAAAATAAATATGTAAAATGACAGCTTTGTGGTGGGAGCAAACAAACAAACCTTCTGGTGCTTCACCTTGCAACTTGGTATACTATCAAAATCAAAGTTGACATATTACGTTGTTTTGAGCTATCCAACCAAAAATCGTTTCTTAGCTGTACTTATTGGGTTGCTGAATTTATTGAAAATATTGCTCAATTCAATACATTCAAATATGTCGCAAGAATGAAAAAAGCAAGTAACACTGGCAAGTCGAAGGCACTACAATAATTACACCCTTTTGTGTATAGATAGGGAAAATTATGGAAATTAGATAAGTGGGCATATAAAGTATAAAACGATGATATTGAAATTAAATATAAACTAACTGACATAGGTTTACTATCAATCACAGGACAACTCCTCCATTTAGGAAGAGTTTATAAACGGGTTAATTTTTGAATAGTTAAAAAAGAGTGGTAGATAGTAATTGAGGATCCGTTAAAATGAAGTTTGATCCTTTATAAAAAATTTATTTGACCAAAATCAGAGAAGAAAATCAAAATGGCATACGTAACAAGTCACAAGCCATTGAATGTTAATGTTTAATCTTGGAATAGACAATTGTTTGGTTTTCTCGCCTTGGAACATGTCAAAGGAAATAGGTAGTAATGAGAAAAAGTCGTATGCATGACCTCAAATCAAATAATGGAATAAAGATAATAGATGGTAACTCAAAAAAGCCATTCCTAATTGATGAGTGCAATTTGTGCACTTATTTAAGCCTTATTATTAAACTTTTATATCGTCAATTTATTAATTTCTATTTAATTTAGGCGAATTTTCCTTTTGTTTTTAATGTTGGACTCGTTTGAAGCAAGTAGAAAGGAAGAAGGACATAATCGATTAAAATTTATAATTTGGGATTAAATTTTACAAGTTGAAGTTGAGAAGGGTCGTACAAATAAAATTGCATTGAGGATTAACTTGCATTATTTGGATGAAGTAAGGACTTGAGGAAAAGAAATAATAATTGGGCCTCAATTGGACCATGAATTGGAATCTAGAGGAAATTACATAAAAACAAGCATTTAAAATTTCTAAATCAAAATTCAGATGTGAAGATTATTTAAGCAAAAATCAGGTATCAATTCAATTTACTCACCCACCCACTACAAAACCTAATCTATCTACACCGCCGACCCCTAAGCTGGTGCTACCATCATTCTCTCTCCCTTCCTCTCTCCCATACCGGTGCCACCATCGTTCACAAATGCAGAGAAGCACACCATGTAGCCACTTTCTCTATTCTCGTTGCGGATGCTCTAATAGACAGGCTTCGTTACAGAGTATCAAGTTCGCTATGAAGATGGGACGGTTTGCACTTCAATCTCTCTCTCTATTGCACTAGAAGCCACCATCGATCTCTTGTCTCCCTCTTTGCTGTGATTGTTGCGCTCGATTGCAAAGCACTGCTTGTCGCTATAGATTAGGGGCCACTACAGATCAAAGTCAGAAAATAGAAGGGGTGGTTGTGATTTGAGATGGTTGTGGTGATTAATTTGAGAAGAAAACGGATAGTTGTGGTTGTTACACAACGAAGTCGGAGAAGATAAAGGATGCTTATCGTTGTGGAGACTGTGGTTTGTTGGTTTTGGTCAGTCGAATTTTGTTGGGTTTGGATTTTTTTTTTATTGGCGCTGGCACGATGGATCTAGCGAAATTGGTAGTGAATTTTGACCATGGAGATGTGGTGTGGTAGTGGATTTAGCGCTGTTGGTGGTGGTAATTGCAAACGGGTGTATTGCTGGTGGCGTTGGTGGGTGGTGGCGATGACGGTTGAGTAGGACAAATAGTGTTTGTAGGTGGTGGGGTTTGTGACCATTTGTTTGGTGGTGGCGATTGACTCTGGTTGTGATCAATTATTTAGGTGCGATGGTGTTAGATTGGTGGTGGAGTGGCTTTTGTTGGTAGAGGTGGTGAATCTGGCATGGATGTGTTGATAAGTGGTGGTTTTGTAGTTGAAAATGGTGGTTTGTTGGTGGTTGTGGTGGTGAAGTGGCAATGAATCTGGTGTGACGATTTGGTGGTGTTTTTTTGCAATGTGTTAGATTTGTTATAGGTGATGGTGGTTTTGGCAGCAATGACGATGGTGATGCTGTTAGGGGCTTGTGAAGTGGTGGTCACAAGCGTTGATGGTGGTTACAAATTATTTAGTTGACTGTGACCATTAAATTGGGTATTATTGGTGTGTTTGGTGGTAGCAATCGTGACGGTTTCTGGTGGCGACGATTTTGTTGGTGGTGGTGTTGTGGTTGTGGCAGTGGTGACGGGTGAAGGTTGTTGTAAGTGGCGGTGGTGACAGTAGAGTTGGTGGTGGTATGTGACCGACTATTTGACATGTGACCAATTGTTGGTGTTGGTGGTGGTGGTGGTGGTGTTGTTGTGGTGGTGAATGCGGTGGTGGCGTCGAGATTGGATGTTGGATGTCTGAGACCAACTATTTGGTCTCGTCTGTGATAGTAAACTGTGACATTAAAATTCGAACATTTGTCATTAAAAAGTAATCTGTGAACATCAAATTTGAAAATTTGTAACCTGTGACATATAGTTTTTTGAATTTGTGACCAATGATGTGAGTCGTGACTTACAAAAATTTTTATCTGTGACCAATGAAATAATTTGTGACTTGTAAATTTTTTATCTATAACCTCGAAATGATCTGTGACCTACGAAATTTTTGATTTGTGACCTTGAAATAATCTGTAACCAATTAATTCGATTATTTGTGACCAATAAGTAAATATGTGACTATTAATCGTGTAACTATGACTTTATTATATTTAATTAATAAATAGTTTCAATTAATTATATAAAAACCTAAATTTTGAATTTTTAAACGTCGTAATTTGCACCATTGTTTGGACTTCTAATTGGATACAAAAGAATAAGGGCTGCTTTGGTTGATATATTAATATATATACAGACTAATACACACAACAGTGGGCGGTTTTAAAAAAAGAGAGGACTACTGCCGGCGGGAAAGAGAATAACAATGGGACTTTCACTTTAATTTGGAGACTAAACCATATAAAAGGAGGCTGCTTGAGGCTGAATTTTAGAGAGATAGAGGGGTATATCGGCAGAGAAAAAGAGGAGAAAACAGAGGGCAGACCTGCTATTGAAAGAGAGGAAGAGAGAAATTGCCGGCTGCTTTTGGCTGGAATTATATACACACAGGAAACGAAAGCAGAAGAAGGCACAGCTAAATATAGGAATTGAGGAAAGGGATATATATATACACACTTTGATAAACACAACAGGAGGATTGCCGGCTTTGATCATATATTGACAGAGACACACGCACACCAGAAAAGGCAGAAACGTTGGCGGCTAAATTGGGCTGAAAATTGGAAATTTTAATAACGTTCCGTCAATATTTTTTGGTGATCTCTTTCCACTTTGCGTGTTTAATTCCAATATTGCATGAACGAAACTAGCTACGTAGTCAAAAATTGGAATAGATAATAATGGGTGGATTCGTAATTGAATACTCTCCCCATATACATATTAAATTTGTTTTTTACAAGCTTTCATAGATTAAATTAAATAATTAAAAATCACAAAAATCACTTTTATTTGTTTACTTTGAATCTAATTAAATACTAAAATACTCAATTAAATTTTATTCCTCGTGGGACGATATTCTCAACTCATTAAATTTATTACTTATCAACGATCCGTACGCTTGTGAATTTCACACGAACACTGCTGGCTGTCAAAATCAAAATCAAATGATGAAAAGCCAAATTATCAATATATACTGAATAAGGCCTGCATGCCCTTTATGAACCCGGCAGAGTCAGAAAACTATGTGAGAATGGGTTGAAACTTTAAAATTTTCAAATGAACTCACGCTACAAGATATTGAGTTTAAGAGGATATGCTCATGACATTCACGATAAAAAAATGTATGCCACTCAATGAAATAAAAGAAGTCTAGATGTCTCACCCTAAGATATCCCACTAAACCTTTGTATTTTTCTTACAAAATAGACCTTAAAAATATAAATTAACCGATCGAAATTAGCAAAAGATACATGTCCACTAATGAAAAATTAAAAAATTACTTAACGAGTAAGGTTCTAAATAACTTTGACGATTAGTCTTTCCAAATTACTAAAAGTTAATCAATAATATATCAATATAGCATATATATTATTGTCATAAAATACTATTTGGTGTAGCCATCGATCTTCTATATCACCACATTTCATAATGAGTGAGAAATCCCATCCAAGGTGAGAAAGATCGACTAAGAATTCTGAGGGTCAAAGAAATTAGATTTAATTCACTTTTATATTTGGCTCAATTTCAAGAATATGCATATACATAGATTAATTTATAAATTGTTAGAATTTGGGTATGACTCGAATTCTCTGCTGAAGATTATTGAAAGTTTTAATTAAAGTGCAAATTGAAAGAAATTCTATTTTAAATGCTTTAGGAATCCTATTCGAAGTCTAATTGATAAGTTCCAATTGAAGTTCTATTTGAAAATTTTATTGGGAGTTGAAATTTGTGTTAAACTTAAAGATATCAGGATAAGGAAGCTTTTGGATATTCTATTTCATCTACATCTCTACTTTTAGAGTTTGATTTGCTTCCTATATATAGTTGGCTCTTCATTATGATTTAGTAAGATGTTAGAAATATTCTAAATACATAATCTTTGTATTATTTCTCCAAATTTTAATAAAATCTTCATTCCCTGCAAAATTACATTGTTCTTGCGATCTTTACTTCATGATGTGGCTTAATCTCCTATTTTCTACAACAAAGTGGTATTGGATTAATCCAAAACAATTGGTATCAAAGCTATTCCGTTTTCAATGAAGTGGTTTCAGATGTGGTCTGGATTGTGACAAGTTTGCTGTTGAAATTCTTAGGACGATCAAGATTTTGATCAAGTTAATACCAAAACTTGATCTTTCGTGATGGCAACAATACAATATAATATTTTGTTGTTAGATTGCGATGCAAAATTCTCTTTGTGATAGGTAAAGATGGGAGCAATATTCGCTCAGATGGATTTGGACAACGCGTTACTGGTATTTGACAAGATGCTCACAAGTTGGACTATGGAGGAGAAACAATGGAGGAATTGAAAGGCCCTATCTCAAATACATCTTCATATTTCAAATAATATTCTCTGGGACGTTCCGAAGGAAAAGTCAACCGCTGTATTATTGTTAAAATTTGAGCAATTATGCATGGCGAAGAGTCTTACTAACAAATTACATCTGAAGCAATATCTATATTCTCATCATATGATAGAAGATACTTCTCTTGAGGATCACCTAACTACTTTTAAAGAAATCATCGCTAATTTGGAGAAAAGAAGACTTGCGATTGATTTTATTGTGTTCATTGCCAGCCTCATACATGTCTTTGACTTAATACTATATAGTCGTGATAGTCTCACCATCGAAGAAGTCTAGGATGCTCTATATTCAAAGAAGAAGATGAAGTATCTTGTAGCATTTGGGGATCATGCAAATGATCTCATTATTCATGGTGGTCGTTCGAGTGGCAAGTCAAAATCTATCTTCAAATTTTGTAATTATTGCAAGAAAAATGGGCACTCGGTAAACATTTTTATAAGTTGCAAAATAAATCAAAGTCAACTGCAAATTAACAATCAGAAATTTTCAGGAGAATAAAGTATTGCAAAAAATTCTAGCAATGATTGAGAGCTTTTACTTATGTCTGACTACAACTTCAATCCTGATGAGACTTGTGTTTTGGATACAGCTTGCACTTTCTATGTATCACCCAATCGGGAATTGTTTTTAATATATGAAGAAGTTCAAAAGGTGTTGTGACGATCATTAATAACACACCTTGTCGAATAGCTAGTATTGGTTGGTCAGAATAAAGATATTTGATGGGACGATTAAAACACTTGATGCAATGAGACATGTTCAAGATTTGATGAGAAATCTTATTTCTTTAAATACTTTTGATTCAAAAAGGTACATGTACACTGTTGAAGGTGGAGTCCTGAAGGTTATCGAAGGTGCTCGTGTTCTACTCATGGGACATAGAAAATCCCATTTATATATCTTGTTGGGTGATACGAAATCTTCGAGTAATCAGCATATTTTAAGAACTAGGGTAGATTTATAATTGACTTTTGTACCATTAGACTCTAATTTGTGGTCTTCTTTTAAGAATACATCTCAATAGAATTTTGAAGATACGAATAAATTCGTCTTGCCACCATTATCAACGACCATCGTTTTCAATTGCTAGAAATGGACCCATTTTTTGCCATATGATTTGACATAGATACAATTCGGCTAATTTTGTTTATGGTTTTGAATGCGGTTACGGGTATTTGATTCTAGTCAAGATCTTATTTTGATGCATTCGGTTGTAGAGCTTATTTGAGCCTTATTTGGATCTCATTAGATCACTTTTGCCCTATAGAAGAGTAGAGGTGGAGAGAATTTCTAGTTGGAATCATTGATGGAGAAGTTTGTTTGTGTTTTTATTGAAAAGTTCAAGTTTATTCCTTGCACTGGAATTTGTCTCCAGGTGGAGAATTTTTTTAAGTTTTGTTCTTTATAGTAAAATGTGTGCCAATGTGGAGATTATTAGAATTTGGGTACGACCCAAATTCTCTATTGAAATTATTAAAAGTTCTAATTAAAGTGCACATTAAAATGAATTCTATTTAGAATGCTTTTGGAATCATATTCGAAATCTATTTGACAAAATTCTAGTTGAATTTCTATCTGAAAGTCCTATTGAAAATTGAAATTTGTGTTAAACTTAAAGAGATCGAGATAAGAAAATTTTTTGGTATTTTATTTCACTTACAACTCTACTTTTAAAGTTTGAATTGTTTCCTATATAGTTGGCTCTTTGTTATGATTTAATAAGAAGTTAGAAACATTGTAAATACATAAATCTTTGTATTCTTTGTCTATATTTTAATAAAATCTTCATTCTTTGCAAAATTACATTATTCTTATGATCTTTACTTTATATTGTGGCTTAATCTCTTATTTTCTCCAACAAAGTGGCATTGGATTAGTTCGGTATCATCTTCCATTTTTCATAACATAAATAAATAAGCTTTAACAAATATTCTTTTTATTGTAAAGATC